CCCTGCCCCCTGGGGATTAGCCATTCACACAGAAACTGCATGTGGCAGCAGATCTGACCTGAAATATCTCAGTACTCAGCTCCTCAGAGAGTGGCATTGCCCAGAGTCAGCAAAATGTTAATATTCTCCACACATTCCAGACAGCAACGACTGGTCAGCTCAGGTCCACCTCCCAGCTGTACCCCTTCCCGGCCGACAAAGAAACACCTCACTTCCCTTTCTGAATGGGATCTGCTATACATTTACAGAAATCAATACATTGGATCCTAGAAATGTCCAGGATCCATTTTTTTGGGGGGGCTTATAGCCAGGCAACTAGCAAAGATCCATTCACTTCATGCTCAGCTTGGCTGGATTGCCAAGTCACATCTTTGGTCTAGCTGGAAAAATCCTTTGCTCTTATTCCAACCGAACTTGCAGAAAAATATTTGCCTGCAAATTTCATGATGGAAGTTGCCTCTCTTCATGAGTTTGTACAGGAATTGGCATGGATGAAGGAACACCTGTCCAGTCTTAGCTCCCCAGTAGTGCTCTGCCACAATGATTCGCTGTGTAAAAGTATTAGCTATAATGAAATGCACAGCTTTGCAAAGTGTGCTGGCACGGTGGCTCAGTGGTTAGCACTGCTGCCTCACAGTGCCAGGGACCTGGCTTTGATTCCAGCCTCAGGCGACTGTCTCTGGGTTTTCCACTCTCTCTCTGTACCTGTGTGCTCTAGTTTCCTCCCATAGTCCAAAGATGTGCAGGTGATCAGGATTTGTCATAGGAAATATGGAGTTAGAGAGTCGGGAAGTGGGTCTGGCTGGGAACATCAATGTGGACTTGATGGGCCAAATGGCCTCCTTCCACACTGTAAGGAATCTATGATTTAGGGGCTTCACTCACATGACCACTTCAGAAAATCCACGATGTTTCCTCACTGTAGTATTTATTCCGGGTACCAATTTCTGCCAGTGCAGAGAATTGGATTGTCTGTTCCAAAGTCAAATCCTTGAATGGAAGGAAGTCTCATAATTTCTCAGTCCTCACCTCAAGTATTATCTGGTCATTCATTAAATCATCTTTCCAAGTATTGCGCCTGCAACACAATATAAATCTGTCACAGAGATTTGCTGTGCTTTTCACAAATATTTATATTAAGAACATAAGAGCCAGGAGCAGGAGTAAACAGTTCAGCTGCTCAAGCTTGTTATTTGATATGATTATGGCAAATCTCATCCATGCTTAAACTTCACTGTCCATCCCACTCCCCATTACCCTTTAATACAACACTCATTAAAAATATCTGTCTCCTCCTTGGTTTTATTCAGTGCCCTGACATCTACCACTCTATGGAGGAGTGAATTCCACAGATTCGTGACCCTTTGAGACTAATGGTTTCTCCTCATCTCTGTCTGGGATCTGTCAGCACTTATCCTAAAACTAAGACTCCTCATTCTAGTTTTGCCCACAATGGGAAACATCCACTCTCTACTGCAGAGGGCTGTTGAGACTGGGTCATTCAAGGCTGAGGGAGAACAGACTTTTAATCAGGAAGGGAATTGGGGTTTATGGGGAAAAGGCAGGAAGGTGGAGTTGAGGACAGTCAGATCAGCCATGATCCCACATTCCCGTTAAGTTGCTGGTACAGAAATTCCCATGTTCCACACGTGGTGATCGGTGTTATGGGATTGAATTCTCGTTCCTGAAGTCACCATTAGGCACATATGGTCTTGAAGGATCTCACAGCCAAAGCACCAGGTAGAGGGGACATTGGCTAATATCCCATTTAATGGTGAAACAGACTCAATGGTCTGGTGAAGGAACAGGTACAGCAAGTACTCAGGAAAGGGGATGGGATCTGATGGTTTATTGCGAGGGGGGATTGAATCCGGGAGTTAGGGTGTTAGTTAGACAGGACAATGGTGAGTCTGTAGCTGGTATACTGTGTACAGGGACTGTGTGGGCACTGTACTGACAGAGGGAGGGGAATGTGTTGGGAAGCAGCTCAGAGAAGGTTTACTGGGCTCATCCCTGGAATGAGCGGATTGCCTGATGAGGAAAGGGCTGGGTCTGTATCCTCGGGAGTTTAGTACAATCCGAGGGGACTGAACTGAACCAGATAAGGTCCTGAAGGGTCTTGACCGGGTGGATGTGGGAAGGAGTTTTCCTCACATATTGGAGCCAGACGATATCGGTAAAGTGTTAATCAAAACCTTTACATCTGTCTGGAGAAGGAGGATATAGGTACAGAGTTTGAGAAGGGGTACTGTGAAGTTTTTCAGCAGATCGATATGAGAAGCATGTGGGAATGGAGGTTTTAAAAGTGGACAACTCCCCAGCTCCAGGTGAGTTATAACGCAGGCTGCTGTGGGAAGAGAAGATGGAAATTACAGGGACACTGACCCTAATTTATAAACCATCTCTGGCCACAAGGAGGTGCCAGAGAGCTGGAGGACGTCTAATGTGGTTCTGCTTACAAGAAGGAGGTAGAGATAGATCAGTGAGTCTCAGATCAATGAGTCTCAGATCAGTGAGTATCAGATCAATGAGTCTC